GGCTGTCTTTGGAAGTGATCCCAGACACTGTAAACCTTGAAGAACCTTTTGGCATCGTCTGTAAAATCACCAACTGCAGGTGCAAACCGCCATAGGAATATATATATAAAACCCTAATGATAACCTGTATGAGAAAGGCTTAGAAAAAGTATTCCTTCCCTTCCAGATTGTTTTGGTGATTATTTTAAAATCAAAACTTAATTTAATTAGATACAAATAATCAGTTTAAAATTATTTAAACTAGGGTTGATTTTGACTGACTTTTTTGTTTTGGGGTTACCGGTAGGTTATTTTTTATTTTTTTTGTTTGTTTGTTTTTTCCCCATCCAAAATTGTGATTGCTATAATGAGAATCATAAAATTTGCTGGTCTCCAGATTTTCTACTCTTCATGGCCTCGAATGCTCTCTTGTCCACATTCTGATGTCGAAGTTCTTTACTGTTGAGTTGAGAAGTGCTTACTTGCTAGTAGCTAGTAGAGAAGCTAATACTATTAGTTAGCTGCAACTCTTCTTTCCCTTATGTGTGGTTAAAAAAGAAAAAAAATGCTTAAAGCCACTTAAAGGCCTGGAGTGAGAAAGTTTGTGTCTTACTCCTTAAATGTAGTTTGACTAAAACTTGAGTGGCTCTGTGAAACATTTTTAACATTAACATTTTTTTTTAATTTCTCGTTAGGCCAGCCTCACCTGGGAAACTTCTTCACTCCGTGCTTTTTTTTAAATTTATTTGTGGATAGTGGTGTTTCTCTAGGGTCCAAAAAGCCTTCCAAATGACCTTGTAGATCTTTCCTGAGTGATCGATTCCTTATTTAGGTTTCGACGTCTTTATGATTTAATTTTTTCTTTTTCTTTTTAAGGTCTTTAACCTAAGTGTCACTCGTTGATAACTCGATTATTAAGGTCTGGCACCAATCAGTCTGGGGTGTGACGTGAAATCATACCATGGATTTTCTCTTAATGAAAGAAATCATTATTTGAAAACAGCTTTTTTGTATTTGTTTATTCAGAGAAAAAGAAATTTTTTTTCAAACACATTTTTGCATTTGAACAGTTTTTTCTTTCTTTCTTTGAAAACATTTTTTTTTTTTATTGAAAACAAAAAAAATGTTTTGGGGATTTAATAATTAAGAAACACATGTCCTACCCAACATTACTTAAATTTAAAATGTTTCAAACAAAAACCTTTCACTTCTATCAAAGAAAACATTTTCCATCAAACTTTATTTTTACATCCAAATACTTTTAATCTTTAATTGAACCTGTTTTTTTATTAGAATGGGTTTTTTTTTTTTTTATGTAAAAGATTTTTTATTTGAAGCAACTATTTCTTTAATAGAATAATAAACACATCTACCTGGATAGATTTTTTTTATAATTTTAAACATTGAAGTGTTTTAAAAGCTAAATTTCTCAAATCTGTGAAAGAAGAAATTTATTTTTCTGAACCCTTTATGACCCAAAGATGTTGGCTGATATCTTCTGTTGTGACCCCTGCAGTGAAAGAACCATGGACCTGGTGATGGAAATGTGCAACACAAGGTCCATCCACTGGTGTGGAATCTCAGGACGACAGCTTGGCAAACTCAGTCCTGCTGCCTCCCTGTCGCTGCCGCTCACCGTCTTCTCCTCTGAGCAGGGTCTGCAGGTACGGTCCGAACCTTCAGAGGGTAACTTCTTCCAGTCTCATTTGTTTTCTCATTACTTCTCTTTTTTGTTTCAGAGTATTTCTGGACTGAGACTCACTGACACTTTTCTAAAGCGGACATACGAATATGACGACATTGCACAGGTGTGCGTGGTCTGCCCGTTTATGAGCAATGAATGCTAGAACTTTTATTCGCCTTTATTTGCATTTTAGATATGAATGGACCAACTGTGGAATTCTGCACTAATACTTCACTTTTTTGTTGTTGTTTTTTTTTGCAACTGAAGAGGACAATTCTGTATTTTAAAATGAATTGTGAATAATATAAATTGTTTCCTTTGAAAATAAAAATGTAAATCTGTGTAAATGAATACATTCTGTGCAAACTTTGGATTCCCTCATTAATACTAACATGCACAACATAATGATACTCTTAGAGAATTTGGCTTTGTTTAACCCTTAAAACACATTTTGTTCTTATTGTAAACATTTTTATCAGCACAAACGTTGCGCAGATGTAAGATGATTATACTAAATGGTGGGTGGGGAGAAATAAAAATACATTTCAATTCCTCACACAGTAACGGTAGTAGTTTTATTCCTCAGCCAATTAATAAAGATACTATCATGAATCAAAAACAATAATATGTGTCATACTTTGCCCTGTAGAGAAGTTAATGTTTCCTTTTAAACAAAATAAGAATAAAGAACCTTAGCTTTGATTCATGACATAAAACAAGCTTTGCACATTTATAGTCACCTCAAAACATTTTACAAAATTAAAAGCAGTAGAACAATGGAATAATGGGATTTATTTATTTTTTTTGATGAGTTGATGTTGGTGTAATCATATTTTATTTCTAAAGGACCAACTATGTTTCCTTTATATATA